AAGCTAAAAGAACCGGCACAGGAGACCAACCTTAGGGGACAATCAGTCACTATGGACTCAAGCTGGAGGATCGAACGTGCACTTACGATTTGCCTCTGCGTAGATCAAGGCCAGACAGGATAATGAAGCCACCATAGTTAGCAACATGTTGTACGAGTTGTCTCAGATTCTGATTGCTTGACAAGAAGGAAGATGCGAGGAGATGTAGGACAACTAGAAGTCCTATGTACAGCTTGAAGTCAGCGCACATCCCTCTGACTACGCTGGCATGGCATTGGTGGCTACTCACAAATGCACGTCTGTCGCAGGAATCCTCTCTCGCCATATGCCCACTGTCCCGAAGAAATGAGAATGACACGTCGTCTGAGAACACCTCGTAATCAAACCAGCTTGTGAGGCGCTCTGGATGACAGTAAAACTGATACTGAAACGCCAGCCATCTGTCGCTTGAGAATCTCTCAGCTGTACATCTGTTTTGTCTGAGAATATTGCCCAGAGTTTTCATCAGTATCGACCCGACAGGGATTGCCGTCGGATATGTGGCTGATTGTAAGTTCGATAAATTACGGGGTCGTTTTGAGACGATCAAGAAGAAAGTGCGGGTATTCTTCGCTATTCTTGGTTGTCTGCTTCGAAACGGAGGACGCACGTGAACTATCAATCCAAGAATGTTTTGCAAGGAATCGTCTGGTGGGTATCACCACAATCACTCTGTCACTCGCTCTGTCGATGACAGCTCCCGGCTGGACGGAAGGTCGCTTGATGGGCAAGCTGGTGGGTCATTCACAATCAGTCTGCCAACAACCGTTCCCACCTTGTTTCGGCCGTTCGCCTCCCGTCATGCGAATGGTACAACTAGAGGTAATCTTGCCGGCAGGTGCTCCAAGATTACCGTTGTCGATCTCATAGCTTTCTGTATCTTCATGTGAATGACTGCTATGTGCTTGTTGTTGTATGTGTGTACATGCCAGGCGTAATGACCTTCCAGCTGAGTGACCTCGTGCTGGAAATGTAGGTAATATGACGGTCTCCACTCAGTCGAACCCGCTCCAGGTTCTGTTCGAATGCAGTCGTCTTCTCAGTCGAAAAGTCGGAGTTTTTCTGATGGCAAGGCATCTGAAATAGCAAAGACCAGATCATCGTCACTTTCTGACACCGATAAAATTCTCTTGTCTGGTGCCAATTCCACAACCCAGGGAGTCTATGCGTTTGATATGTCACAGGTGACGAGAGTAGGTTCATTCTATTTTCTGGTAGAGCATGTTACCGTCTGTCCAAGACTGTCCTCCATAAGCTGATTCTGGCAAGCAAAAGCACGAGACAGGAGACGACCCTCATGCATGTGATCTGGAAGGTCGGACATGTCGAGTGCCACCATCATTGCAGATTCAAACCAAGAGGCATTCGTTTCATCTTCCAGT